GCAGATTTGTAGCATTTTCCTTTAAATGTTAATGAGCTCTGCTGCCCCCCCCCCTCTCTTCGAGCCGCTCTCAGAGAGACTGTTAAAGCCTGGCTCACACTACAGGATTTTTAGCCCAATTTAGCCCTGATTTCCCCCTCCCGAGAATCGGAGCAAAAATCTTGTCAAGCCCCTCGTTGATTGAATTATGTTTCATTTTTATGTTTTTCTAAGTAGTAATATACAAAATGGCATAAGCGAATTGGACCAAATTTTACATATTGTTTATTCTACAATCAAGTTTAATTATTTCAGGCTGCACAAGACTGTCTACATTATAAAATATATCTGGTTTATCACAATCTAAAATAGAATCCATATCCTCCAGCTTTATATCATTCCATTTATGTGCATTTTGTATTGGGATACTGATTCACAGCATCCTCTCACCTCATCAGTTGACTCACTCCTGTATCCACAGCATCTCTGACAACATCATTACATCATCCCTGGACCAGAGCAGAGCTAATTTGCTAGCCGGCAGCTATCGATACCATTCAGAGCGTCAAACAAACACATATCAGCTCATCCACACAGCACTGTAATAATCCATGTATATTTATTGTATATTCACTGAAATACATAATATACTGTACTTTTCTGTCAATAAACAGTGTATCAGATTGCTAGCTGTGCTTTTACATTTCAAAACAATGATTACATGGTATTACATGGTTGATATGGAGAGCGCGTCTCTGGAAGAAGCGCGTCTATTGCGCAATCTGGACAAAATGCTATATATCTCACCGATGGAAGCATGCAGAAAATGGTCTTGTTTGAAAGAAGAGATCCTAATCTAAAAGGTAATATAGAGTATATAGATATTTGTGGCTGTTTGCGGCTGACTGAAGCAGTGCTACGAGTATAAATGTAAATTCGCTCAGAGGTGACAAAATTTTACATCGCGATTCTATCGAAGATCATTCGATCTGTTATTGTCACACAATGAAATAATCTACATTGTAAAATTCCTGAGAATGAGAGCTTTCTTGTGATATATGACTTGACTTTTTTGTGAAAAATATATAAAATACACATTCTTCGTAAAAATTATGGTTAGGTTAGGCGGAAATTTGTGTGTGGGACGAATGCATTTCTAAGCTTAATTTTACTGCTTTATGAATATAAAAACCAAAAGGAATGGCATTCTTTGTAAAGCAGACACTCCAAGCTTTCAAATGAACCCATATATGGGCTGATACCATACAAGGAAGGCTATGTAAATGAAGCATAAACATTTTTAATGCGATTTTGAACCCGTATCTGGGTCCGCAGAGTTTAACTGGTTTTAAGATCACGCTACAGAAACTGCTTAAAATTAAGTATAAAGAAGAGAAGAAAGCACACACCTGCCTACACAGGATCCGCCACTGCCAGATGCAGTTAGAAATTTACTAAAAACAAGCCTATCGCAAGATATCTGGTAGGGGGGGCACCTGGGGTGGCCAGACAGATTTCAGGGGGGGCCGGTGCCACCCCTGGCCACCACGTAGACACGCCCCTGGTCACGAGGCGATCACGTGAGGCGCTCCCTCTAGCATGATAATCTTAATAATATCTTGTAGTGTGTGATGCGCCATGATGTTCAAATCTTGTAGTGTGTGCATGTTTAAGATTTGGGAGAAGATAATCTGCAAAGATTCTCCTTATGTGTGTGCTGCAACCAGATTTCATAATTGGTTAGGATTTTAAAACTCCTGTAGTGTGAGCCCGGCTTTACTTTAGCTGCATTCATCGTGAAACTTGCTAATTAGCACATTATTAGGAAAGGCAATTTGCAAAGATTCTTTAAAAAAACCTTACACTCACTTCTTCTGTAGGTGAAGCTGGATCACGAATGATTCGCGCGAACATAGACGCATTTAGGTAGATCGGAGGCGCATTCCCTTCAAAAACAAACATAATACACTGCGTCTTCAGTGGCTCAGATGTCGGGAGTAAACGACGACTGCTATGTTCATTATTACATCCAACAACAGAACACCTCAATCACTTAGGAGTCATTCTTGTCTACATCTGCTCCAGCGGTGAAACAATGGCGGATGTCACACAGACAGGCATCTGAGATCGGCTCAATTTGAGAAAGGGGTAAAGATTTTAGAAGATTAACAAAAAAACACTGGGTGGATTTTTATCATTTTAGGGTGGTTGTGTACACACACTGCCAACACACATTTCAGTTCAAACAACTTGTAAAAGTGCATGTAGCATCCGATGAACCCTTTAAGACTAGAGCACCCTCACTAATTTCAGAAGCACCTCAGTGATTTATTTGTGGAACCGGGCCTGGTTGATATGCTTTTTGTAGAACTATAAACAAAAAGAACAAAATACAAATGCACTAAATAAAATAATTTAAGAAATGCATATTTACAATACGCACTTAACTTAAATAAGTATTACATAATAATTTAAATAACTACAGAAGGCTGACTATAATCAGCTTGCCTCCATTTAGTGGGATAAGCCTACTCTTCACCTGAATTAAAAAAGCTCTTGGTCTTCAATGATGCAAGTACAAAGTTTGAGCGCAGACACGCAATATCTGAGCAGGAGCAGAGCCAATTCATAAGAGAACACTGTCTATTTAAAAGTGCACGTCCAGTTTTGTGAGAGCGAAGGAAATGCTTTTGAGTGGAGAGATTCGTGCTCACACATTTCATGGATGTGCTATCGCGTTACATTACTGCACTCTCAACATTTTGTCTGTAAGATAACGCTATAGAAACTGCCTAAAATTAGATAAGTATACAGAAGAGTAGAAAGCCACCTTAGGTAGTCGCCCATATTGCCCATGCCAGGACCCACCACTGCCAGATTTAATAAAAACAAGCCAATCCCAAAACATCTGGTAGGGGGGGCACCTGGGGGGGGGGGCGGGGTTTCCTCCTTCTTATGTAAATCTTGTGCATTCAAAAGACCACTGAAAAATAGGCGAATTAGAACATAACACTGACTGTGAAGTTACAGTCGGGATCACTAATATGTATGCCCCCAACATTTGCATATACCCGCCCATGTTCGAGGCCAGCCGGACCTGCACAGCCAAATCATCAGAAGTTCTGCAGGTATTGTGAAGAAACAAGCATGGATAATAGCGAAAATGGCAGATCATGGAAATAAATGTTATGTTACAGGCTGTGCAGGGGATGTGATGTGCAGGGATGGGTTGGTGTCTGTATTCAGAAAGGCACGGAAAGCAAATAATGCGCGTTCTAATAAAATAACGCGAGCCACTAAAGGGACATGGTTAAAGGGACACTAAAGGGAGCCTGTTACATTACAGTACATAAGATTTCACTTACCACATAAACAGAGTAAGGAGAGATGACTGAGGAAGATGGCGAATGATTTACAGATCATGAGCACCACTGACAAGCATCTGATCTTGTAAAATGTGAGGTAAGTACTGCCGTCTGCCGCTGTAGTTTACACAGCCCAAATCGCAAAAGTGAAAGTAAAACGCGATCATGCATTCGAAAGCAGTTTCAATGCCCCGCATATTAATAGCGGCTCCCTGATGTCAGGATTTTATATTCAGTATAATTACCCAACAATATAACTGCGACGTCTACGAGAGAAGAAATGAAATATATATTTTTCCTGCTGTGTGAGCTACTGAAATGAGCCGCACTGTGAAACAGCCAATCGGAGCAGAGCTCAGCATTATTATTCATGACCCTTCCAAATAAGGTAAAAACAGACCATTTCATTCTAGGGACAAATCCTAGAGTTGTAAATGGACATGTAAAACCGTTTCTGGAGATTTTTTGCCCTTACCTAAACCACATATCTTCTATGTAGATATCAGAGAACAATTTAAAATATTGTATCAATACATTCTATGTAGTGTTGCTTTCGTCAACGAAAATTATGACTAAATATAGTCGTCAACGAACCTTTATCACATGACGAAAACAAGACGAGACGAGACACAAATGCTGGTCATGTGACGATGACGATAATTAAATGTACAATGCAATATCGCAGGCGACGTCACTTCCTCAAGCCCACTGGCGAATTATTTAGAGAAGTGTTTCTGTCGAGAGCAGGGGTGCCGTGTAAAAAATATTTTTTTTATATTTTTAAATTGCTAAATATGTGTGTGTACTTCTAACATGTTTGGTTGGTAAAATAAATGTTGTAAATTCAAATCAGAGCGTCTTCCGTGTCTGGAATGGATGTATTCTTGAGTTTATAAGGTAAAAATAATATAATAAGATAACCTTGTTTGAAAAGGGTTTGGCTAAAAGAAAATTTTGGTTTCGTCTATACTACTAGGTATTTATACTATATTGACTGGGTTAAATAGAATTGCATTTCTAAAAAGAGACTAAAATACAATTTTCATTGACTAAAACTAGACTAAATGTCATTAGTTTTCGTCGACTAAAACTAGACTAAAATGCTCAGACTTTTAGTCGACTAAAACTTGACTAGACTAAAAAGAGTATGAACGTGACTAAAGCTAATAAAAACTAAAATGACAGTTTCACACAAAGACTAGACTAAAACTAAAATTAAAACAGGCCGCCAAAAACAACACTAATTCTATGGCACCTTTAAATAGAAATTAAAATGAATGAATTTTTAAAAGAATTTTAAATTTTTACTTTTTTTTTTTTTATTTTTACAAAATTATTCTGGCAACCAAAGTGGCCGCATTTCTTTTTTTCTTTTCGTTAAAATAGGGGGATTTTTTTTACAGTGTACATATACAGTATATAATATACTATATCATAATTAGTTGTGATCGACAGTGATTAGAAACATGACAGAAAAACTTTGCTACTACTAGAGTTTTCTATGGGATATGTAGGCAGGAAATATGTATTTCTGTGAAAAGAATTTCTATTTTAATATGTATGCAGTTAGTGTGCATACAGTCCATTGGACCTTTGATTGATTTTTGTGCTGTTGTTGTGTCCCTAATTTCCATAAAAAATTAATTTTAGACTCACTCATCTGTGATCTGATGTCATCTTTTTGTTTTTTCATCCTCTTCATTCGTTCTTTTGCTCTCTCTTCTGCTGCTCTTCTTCTCTCTTTAATCTCTAAGATTTTTCTGTCTATTTCCAAATGGCAGCCGTTGTTTTGTGCCACTGTCTCCTCAATCTTCTCCAGCAGCTCCTTGATCTGAGTGTGGTCACTCCTGTTCTGATTGTTGAGAACATGATACCTGTTCCCACATTTGTCCAGCAGCCACTGGAGATCCTGCCCTTCACTCTCAATGTGCTGCTCTATAGATGTGTCTAACAGATAGTCTCCAAAGGTGAACAGCACTATAGTGTGACTCCAGACTCTCTCACCGAGAAGATCCAGATGCCCCTGCACTGCTTTTCTCACAGTCTCTTTTAATATGTAGTCCACAGGTATGATCAGTAGTACAGCGTGTGGTCCTGGAGGACACAGAGACACACTGTGCAAAATCTCCTGTTTCAGTAACTCAGGACAGTACTCTACAGTGTAATTCGTCCACCATCCTGGAGCTTCAATGACAGTGATGTGTCTGTCTGCTACTTCTCCATGTCTCCTCACACACTGAACAGATGTCTTCAAGTCAAACTCCTCTCTGCCCAGGATAGTGTTTCCTGCTGAACTCTTACCAGCAGCTCTATACCCCATTAACACAATCCTCAGCTCTGAGAGATGTTGAGCATCACCTGCAACAAATAAAGAACAAACACATTTAATCAACATGATATTGTACTGAGTATCTGTAAATATCTGCTCTATGTACCTTTAATAAAATCCCTAAGTAATAAATTAAGTAAGTGATCATTTACAGTCATTATCACAAACCCCGACAGTGTGATCTGGACCCTGAGAAGATGCGGAGCATTTAGGTTTGTATTATAAATGATGTACATGAAATAAGTGTAGATTTTAAGCATTCTTGACCAACAAACACTAACAGGTTTGACACACTGATCCAACAAAACCCAAGAGTCACTGGAGGCTGGTGTTTGTTAGAGTTTGTTTAGTCAGTGTGAACAAGGGCCTGAACACTAAAGTAAAGTCTTTGTCTGTCTTCCGTCTGAATGGGGAGGTTACTGAAGTGTTCAGATGGGCGTAATGTTTAGAAAATAAATGTATTTTCATAAGAATGGTGTCTTTCTTTCAAATAGTTACAATGATAACAAGAATGCTTATGAACTATATGATTTCATTTGCATTCTTTATAAAACAAACATTTCCTCTTGAAGATCTCTGAGTTGCAGCTATACCCAACTCCAGCACAGAGACGAGTGACACGCATCAACAAGTCGCTGGCAGTGAGAATGCAGTTTAACAGGCATTTAATAGACATATCACTGAAATTGGATGTGGTGTCCCCACGGTGATCCGACAGACTGACACATCGACTGAGACGCGTGCAGCTCATATTGCTACCATGCTGAAAATCGTGGCTTCCTTCCTTAACCTTCGAGGACATCTTTGCTGATCAGCAGGTTCAATGTGGTTAAAGTTAAGGGTGGACTTCAGGAATAGGGACACATTAGATCCCAATGAGGCAGCATACATTTATATTTGAATAAATATACTTTTATACTGTACTACATACAATACTTTGAGGTGCAAATTCTATCTGCCACTATTTCCTCTAAATAACACCAAACTACTATTTATTCAATGCAAAGAAAATACTTTTTTCCCCTTTTTTTTGCTCTTTACACTTAATGTGCGTGTAATTTTTAGAGCCTGACCGATATGGGTTTTTTGGGGCCGATATGATACCGATATTTGGGAGTAAAAACCCCGCTGATATCGATATATCGGCCGATATTCTTTGTGTATATTATAGAACATCAAAAGTTTGGACACTTTCCCATTCGTGTCCAAACATTTGACTGGTACTATATATAGAATACAGTATATACATTGTTACGTCTTGAGACATATTGTGTATGTGTCTTGCTTTGCTGTTTCTCTCTCTCTCTTTCTTTCTCTTGTCATCCTTTCTTTCACAGGATTGGATACTACCAAAGTGATGTCCAGATCTGATTGGTGCTAATGGGACCAAGGAGCAGCAATAAAAGGATCTGTTCTGTGCCTGAGGAGGGAGCTCTGATCAACTTGTGATTTCCTGTTGTTCCATGGCACATGTGCTATTGTGTGTTTGCTACAGTGTGTTGTCGCTGTTAGCTTGCCTGTTGTGTGCAGTGTGAATTTTGGTTTTGAGTTGATAAGTTGTTGTCAATCTCATTTCCATTTTGTATATATGCGATAACTCATTAAATAATGCGATATTTGATATGCGATACGATAATGCTTAAAGTGCCACATGCTCAGATGAAACCGTTTTACTCAGCTGTTGCTGAGTCAGTTCTGTGAACTTCTATAACTATCTTGTGTCATATACTGTATATATGGTTATTTGTATATATGCATGTACCAAGAGTTCCTGTAAAACCCCAACAAATTCCTTGTGTTTGCGCACACTGAAGTGGTGAATAAAGCTCATTCTGATTCTGATTCTAATAAGAAAGCACCCCTACAACAACTTCTGAAAGTGAATGGTAGTGTTTTACTCGAGTATTACATAAAATGTCATTTTAACATGAGTTTAGGAACTGAATAATAAAAAGGAAAAATAAAACACTGCTTAGAATTTACTCTATGAATTCAATATGCACTGATTCTTATTTAAGCTACAAAAGTTATTTAGGTAGGAGCAGTGAGTGATTTTCTTTGTCTTTTGTTCATGGCCCCAAATATTGCAAGCTGTAGCGATGTGCATATTTATGTAGCTACATTTGCGATATTTCGATAATTTCGATATATTGCACAGCCCTAATATATACATAAACACATTTTTGTGCATTTTTGCACATGCAATGATCACTCAAATGTGGTGATCAAACGCTTATAATGATGTGACAAAAATATAATGATGGAGGCAGGGCATTTAACAATTTAACAAACTTTATTCAAAATGAGTCTGACATCAGTGCACTGAACAGTAAAGTTGAAGTTTATTCAACTTTAATTCAATTCCATTCAATACAACTTTATTCCGTTGAAGTTTATTCCAATTTGGAACATTCATTCACGGATTTGCGCTACTGTCTTCACACACAGACGAAACTTACTAGAGAAGTGTGACAATTTACCTCTGTAAATAAATATAAATTCACGTCTCGCGCACTTTAATGCCCTTTGAATGTAACGTGTATGTTCCATATGCATGCTTCTGACTTCCATTTTTCCGCGATTACACTTTTGGCACGTTTTTTTCGCCAAAAGACGGTCAAAAGCACTGCAAGCCCGTGAACAGTGATTTGCAAGCGAAAACAACAGTTTAAAGAACTGCAAAACGGATTGACTGCATAGAACCAATCTGTATGTGTACAAAACTAACTGTTGCAAATGTCTAAATGACTTGTTGTGCATGTGGGGCAAAACGTTCCCGAAATAAATCGATATGTACAGCTCCGTCTATCTTTTCTCTGCGCTTACAATTTTGGCACGATTCTCTCACTAACTGAGTTTTGCAAGCGTGAGGGGGAGGGCGGGGCCACCTTCTTCTTGTAGCCAATCAAATGAGCCTCTCGCTGACTCTCCAGTTACTCTTATCTGATTGGTCCAATAAACACATCATACCCAAGACATTAATCTTCATTTAGTTCAGGATCATTCTTGCTGTCGGAATGGTACTTTTAACGTACACATACAATAAAAAATAACAACTTAATTAAAACATGATATTTTATAAGCTGTGTACCATTAGGCTATGTGTTCATACTGAATTTTGAGCCGTGTAGTTTCCTTCTCTTCCTTAACAGGCTATATGATATATTAGTTTATTTGTAATATTATATTGTAATTTTGATGATACTTAAAGAAGGTCTAGTATCTGCACTAGCCTAATACATGCATAATTTCACCAGTGTACTGATCCATTTTTTAAACACAAATTTGGTTCAATAATAATTGAACCAACAGAACCAACAGTAATACTTTTTTTTATTTAACATATTGTAATTTAAGAGGATTTTACAAAATATTACTAAAATATTTATTAAACTAACGTATTCACCATTTATCATCTGTAATACTATCGTGTAACAATACCATAGTGATACCATAGTGTTGAGCATTGTCACATAACATCATTTTGATTATAAAGTTTAACATCAGTTTACTACGGAAGTTCTAAGCGGCCATGCATTATTTATTTTTTCCCTTCTTGTTTTCTCGTTATAACGACTTATTTTCTAGTTATATCGACATAACGAGAGTTGTTTTCTCGTTATAACGACTTAATTTTCTCGTTATATCGACATAACGAGAGTTGTTTTCTCGTTATAACGACTTAATTTTCTCGTTATATCGACATAACGAGAGTTGTTTTCTCGTTATAACGACTTAATTTTCTCGTTATATCGACATAACGAGAGTTGTTTTCTCGTTATAACGACTTAATTTTCTCATTATATCGACATAACGAGAGTTGTTTTCTCATTATAACGACTTA